ACGACGCCGCCCTCGAGCACTCGCATTGAACGGCGCCCGCGAAGGCGACGACGACGGCGCCTACGCCGCCCGTCGAGCGCTCGTCCCTTGCGGCGCCCTCGAGGACGACGGCGGCGGGGGGCAGCGACGACGACGACCTCGACGACGACGACGACGACGAGGACGACCTCGACGACGACGACGATGACAAGGACGATGAGGACGACGACGACAACGACGACGACGAGGACGACGACACGCCGACGAGGACGACGAACTCGACGACGACGACAACGACAACAACGACGCCGCCGACGACGACGACGACGACGACGACGAGGACGACGACGAGGACGACAACGACGACGATGTCGACGAGGACGACGACGAGGACGACGACGAGCATGACGACAAAGAGGAGGAGGACGAGGATGACGGCGACGACGGCGAGGACGACGATGGCGACGACGAGGACAAGGAGGACGAGAACGAGGACGAGGGCGAGGACGACGACGAGGACGACGACAGCGGCGACGTCGTTGTCGACGCCCTGGTCGCGCTGGTGCCACGCCCTCGGGCGCAGCGACGACGACGGGGCAGGCCGCGCGGCCGAGAGGGATGAGGTCAGAGAGCTCTCAGGCTGTGGCTGCGCGGTTGTTCCTGGACGAGGACAACAAACCCCACCCGCACCGGGGAAACCCTGGCCCCCTCCGGGCAATCTACCCACCTGGGTTCCCCCTCCCCCTCCTCCTCCTCCTCCTCCTCCTCCTCCTCCTCCTCCTCCTCCTCCTCCTCCTCCTCAGTCCGCGCCCCCACCGGGGAAACCTTGGCCCCGCTGGGCAATCTACCCCCCCTGAGGTGGGGATGGGTGCCGTCTCCGTCGGGTTCCGGAGCACCCATCTCCACCTAGAGGGGGCACGCTGGACAGCCAGCTCACCCTGCCCTGGTGGGGGTGGGGATGGTTCCGACGATGATGAGCTGTCTCCTCTGCCTGGCTCTACGGAAGGGCCGCTGAAGTAAGGGACGCTCGATACAGTCAACCCTTCGAATAAGCACGCATGATAAGAATGCAAGGGCCTTTTTTTCATGTATGTGCACTCCTGAGTCCTGAGGCAGAGCGGAGGTCTTTGCTAACAATGCTGAAGAAAATAGGGTGCTCAGAAGCAGAACTGTCCGCCTGGAATTCTGAAGACCAGTGGGAAGAAGTTACGGCGATCTGGCGATCTGATCGATCGCTGGCCTGGGACTGGCCATGCCCTGTCCCACCGCCTGTCGCAGCTCGCGCCTCCACTCTAAGACAATATTGTATTGTATTGTATTGTATTGTATTGTACAATATTGTATTGCACTCTACTCTAAGGCAGGAAAAAACAAAAACCGAGGGGCCACGTATTGGCCTACCCTCCCGAGGAGGCCGCGTTGGGCCCCTCCCCAAACAAGTGCAGCACAGACAGAAAGGCGCAGCCTCTGGCATATACTACACAAGACCATCCATCAAGTGCAGCACTGATCAGACCATATACTACACAAGAAAACCAAACTGACACTGACGTCCTCTGTCCACTCCCCAACTAAGGGAAGTGGCGAACATCCAAGCCCGCGCAGCCGTGGATGCCACAGCTGGTCGCCCCGTGACTTATGCCTGCCTCTGCCAAGCAAAATCCTCTTCCTCTCCTTCTCTTCTCCTCCCCATCCCCCCCACTCCTCCTCATCTTCCCCTCATCCCGCGGGTGGCGCAGGCGAGCCTCGCTCGCGGCACTTTGGCCCCTGCCCTCGGCAAGGGCTTCGCCTACTGCGGCAGCGCGGCCTGACACAGGAACAGGCATCAATCCAACAGGCAGAATGGTTCTCGCCGATCCATCGGCCTCCGCACCCGCCCAGCCAACAGATCTCATAAACTGCGCGATATCATATCTAGTCGGATCACCATCCCAAGGTACCCAGTGACCAGCGTCTTCGCTCAAGAGGATTGTCGGCGACGTGAATTTGGAAGCTTGCTCATAGGACATCTCATTTGTAATGATACTGTCGTTCCCGCCGATCCATACAAGGGCGGGGATGTCACCAAACGGAGCTGCATCATCGATCATTTGCACAAGGCCCATGTGCGTCCATGGGATATACCCACAGAACATCATTGCAAATGCGAATGTACCAGGAGGCGCCCAGGACAGATACAAAGGCACAGCCATCGCGCCTTGTGAAAATCCCAGGATGCCAGCGAAAGGACCCTTAGTCTCTACGACCTCATCCAGCAAAACGAAAGTTTCATTTGCCACACCGGGGTCCGTTGTGGGATCATCCTTGCTTGGCGGGTCTGGGACCCATAGACCCGCGGCGTAGGGTGCGTCAACGAAGACAAACTCGAAACTGTTGCCGAATTCTGCTTCCAAATGTTGCATGCCCCATGATGACTGGAAATCTTCTCCATTTCCGCCGCCTCCATGGAGGCAGAGGATCTTATGAGGTAGAGACTGTAACGCTCGTCCACTGCGGACCGTTGGCAACGCTTCGACCCTCCGGAAGAGTTCACCGCTCTTGCCACGCGGGACGTCAACCTGCACCCGCACGCAGGCCACGGGGTTACTGGCTTCATCCATTGCCTTGACCTTCAGCTTGTAAGAGCCAGCGACCACCATAGGCGGCAGCTTGTCGAGGGCAAACCGAAGCTCAATGCTGCCAGTGAGGAGGGGACACCCGCGCTCGCCACGCCTCTTGCTAAAGTGCTTGCACAGGTCCTCCTCGTACTTGTGCGGGACGCTGTGCCACGCCATCTCGCGCTTGATCCAATCTTCCGCAGACGAGTCTACGGCAGCCGAGCCCTCATACATCTTTACGCTCAGGGTGCCGCCTGACAGGTTCCGTGCGAGGGTGCCGAAGACGCGCACATGAAGACGGTTTGGGTCGAACTCCGCGCGCGTGATTGACATCACGTCGTGCTTGCCGCTGCAACTCTCGACCTGCACGCCTGCGCCCTGGCTGAGCTCCTCCCCCACGGTGGTGAAGTCGCTACTCTCGACACCCTCCGTCGCCATGTCATCGAGTAAACTCCAGAAATGGCCCTTCGCATTGCCCTCTGCGCCCACGAAGAGGAGGAGGATGCTGGCGATCACGCAACCACCCGACGATACCATCCGAAGCAGGCCTTGCGAAATAGTCAGAACTACGTTGGAATAGCAAGTTGGCTGATATGCTAGACTATGTTCGCGAACACGCTGAGCAGAGCCTCGCCTTGAGCCCAAATGGCTACGGAAAGAAGGATGCAAGGGCCTTGGAAGGCCATGTCGACACTTTGCGAGCGGGGCGCGGCAAGCGAAAGCGGCCAAGGATGGACCGAAGGGGAAACATACAAGGGTAACCTTGGAAAGTTGCTCATCCTTTCTATGCGGGTTGACTGAAAGGAGCGAAGCTACTCTTTGGCGCCAGAAGCGCATGGGTGCACGAGGAAGGCTAGAGGAACAGCCCTGGAATTGACCGAAGAAACAGCGAGCCCCCTCCAGACCCAAAGCGGTGCTTATTTCAGCGTCTTGGCTCTAGAACGTGTCGGACGACTTCTAGATTGGAGCTTCGCCAGCTACGGATGGTACAACAAACCTACATGCGTGCGCCCCTGAAGCAAATCAGGCGGCAATGTGTTCACAGTCATGCGCTGCGTGGTGCGGTGCAGTCAAAGCCCATAGTGAGGATGCAAGATAAGGCTGCAAGAACATGGAAATTCCATGGACCATTCAGAGATCCTTGGACGTCGACATACTCTCAGGATGGACCGAAGAAACAAGGATGCCCGGGTAGCCTTGATGAAGCAGCACATCCTTCCTATGGATTTCGGCTGTCGGGGCCTTTCAAATGGGCTCCGAGTACATCGGGTCGGAGGATCGCGCCGCATCGCCGATGCATCGGCGACGCCCGAGGTGCATCGGCGCCGACGGCGCGGGGAAAATCGGGCTCCGCATCGAGCCGCACCGCCGCTACATCGCATCTGCGATGCGGCGCGATCCTCTGCCCCCACCTGCTCGGACCCTGTGCTGGGAGGCCCAGACGCCAGGGGGACCGACGCCTCGGGACTCGAGGCCTTCGGGCGTGTTCCTTGCCTCTCGGCGGCTCCTGCGGCTGCGCCTCGCCGGGAGCGCTCCGGGGGGTCCGGGATCGTTCCGGGCGGCCGCCGGGAGCCCGAGCAGCCACTGGCCATCGCTCGGACGTCCATTTCCTGTGTTTTTTTCGGTGTCGTGCGTGGTTTTTTCGCGAAATGATCAAGGATGCTCCTCGATGGTCCTCGCCGAAGGAAAAATGCACACGTCCGAACGATGCCAAGGCCATGGCCCGAAAACCGCGAAGGGATCGGCTCTGGCGGGGAAGCACCGGCGGGGCAGCGGCGGCACGCCGCAAGGCAGAGCGGCAGTGGGGCCCCGAGAGCGACGCCGCGCGCTCCTGGGGGGGCGGGGTGGGCTGCCGGGGTTGGCGGCGCGCGCAAGTGGGCGGCGGCGGCGGCGGCGGCGGCGGTGGGTGGAGGGAGGGGGGGAGGCTTCTTAGAAGGACGCTGCTTCTCAGGAGGCGCTGGCCCTGCCTCTGTGGAGAGCAGGCCCGCGCCTCCGAAGAAGCAGGGGTGCTTGAAAGAGGGCCACCCCTGGCCCTGCATCTGTAGATAAGGCCCGCGCCTTCCTAAGGAGCAGGGGTGTTTCTAAGAAGGCCTCCCCCGTGGCTCTACATCCACGGATAAGGCCCGTCGTCGTCCTTGTCCTCGTCGTCCTCGGGCCGGCTTGCTCCTCCTCGTCCTCGTCCTCGTCGTCCTTGTCCTCGTCGTCGCCTTCGTCGCCCTCGTCCTCGTCCTCCTCGCCCTCGTCCTCCTCCTCGTCGTCGCCTTCGTCGCCCTCGTCCTCGTCCTCGTCCTCGTCCTCCTCGGGCCGGTCTCCTCCTTGACGCCCAACTGCCGCTCGACGGGCGCCACCCGCCCGGGCCCTCGGCGCGCCCCCCTCCAGAGCCCGACCGCCCGCCCCCGCGCGCGGGCACGCTGGGCGCCGGGCATTCTCGTCGGTCGCCGTGCACTGCCTGGCGACCGCGAGGGCCACTGACGGAGGCGGCGGACAGGGGGGGCAGGGGGAGGAGGAGGCGGAGGAGGAGGAGGAGGAGGAGGAGGAGGAGGAGGAGGAGGAGGAGGAGGAGGAGGAGGGGGAGGAGGAGGAGGAGAAGGAGGAGGAGGAGGAGGCCAATTGTTTGGGCCATTTTTCTGTTCGGCCCCCTGGCGCCCTGCCCGCGGACAAAACCAAGCGCCGTCGAAGCGGCGGTCACGCCGCGCCGCCGTCGCCGAAGGGCGACTCCCAGCCTGCCGCCACGCGCGCCCGCGCCCAGCGTGCCGCGGCGGCGGGCGAGGCGAAGCCGCGGAGCGCGGCCGCCTGCCAGGCGTCCGCCACGGCGAGCCGCAGCCCCCAGCACGGCGGCCGCCCAGCCCCAGCGGGGGCCCCAGCGCCGCCCGCCGCGCCAGCGCCGCCGTGGAGCACCGCCGCGAGCCGCGCCTGCTCCTCCTCCGTGGGCGCCTGCGGGGCCAGGAGCCGAGCCTTGCTCTTCGGCCCCTGAAGGCGCATCAGGAGCCGCCTCGCCTCCGCCGCCCTCTCGCCAGGGGCAGGCCGCCCCTTGCAGCTGCCCAGCAGGCCAGTCCCTGCAGGAGGGGGCCTCTTCCAGAAGCGGCAGCCGCACTTCAGGCACCGGGCCATGGCCCCGTCACCGTTCTCGAGGCGCGAGACGACGATGCAGTGCCCACGCACCTCCCGCGCCACGCCTGCTCCAGCCACAGCTGCCTGCAGCTCGGGGGCAGCCACAGGTGCATCCGCGAGCTCGTCGGCGGCGGCCCCTGCGGCGGCGGCGGGCGGCTGGCCGAGCTCCGCGCCCGCAGCGGCCCCAGCAGCAGCAGCAGGCGCCAGGCCGAGCTCGAGCTCGGCCTCGAGCGCCGACGCAGCCACCTCCGCGTCGGCCAGCTCCGCCGCGCCGCGTCCAGCGCCGCCTGCGGGATGTCGTAGACGAGGTCGGCCGTGCCCACCACCCCGTCAGAGTCCAGCTTCTCGTGGCCCACCATGGTGGCGGCCAGCTCGCCGACCCAGCGCCCTAGCTCCTCCACGCGCCAGGCGCACGCCTGGAGGAACCAGACCAGCTCCTCGTCGATCGGCCACAGGGCGGCGCCTCTCTTGGCCCACAGGCCAGCTGCCCTGTTGCCTTTGATCATGAGCTCCTCCTCCCAGGAGGACGCCGCGGCGAGCGCCTTGTGCGCCTTGACCTTGCGCACTGTGGCCGACGGGCCAGGCCCTGCCCACCACTCCTGCCACAGGTGGCGGCGCGCCTGCAGCGGCGCGAGGGCCTTGCCCCGCGAGAGCGCCAGGCCGACCGTGCCCGCACAGTCGCAGAGGACCTCGAGGCCCGAGCCGTCGTCCGACGGCTGCCAGAACTGGGCCAGCATGTGGAACGCGTAGTCCTCGCCGTCCCTGGCCTCCTGCCCGGGCCCGTACATCCGCGGGGCGATGCCGCGCATCCCGCCGATGACCTCCCCGCCGAGGCCGATCTGCACCACCGCCCAGCCAGAGCGGCGGGCCCCTCGCAGCGCAGGGAACCTGGCGCTGCCGTCCACGTAGACCCTGCCAGCGAACTTCGAGCCAGGCGGCACGCCGAACCAGCGCGGGGCCGCGAGCGCAGCGTCTGCCGCCGCGGGGAAGGCTGGGACAGGGTCGGGGCAAAGCGCACGCGCGAAGAGCTCCGCCGCGGCGCCCCCGCGCTGCGCCACCAGCCGCGCCCCCTCCAGCAGCTCGGGCGAGCACGCGTCCCGCCGCAGCGGCTGCCAGGCGTCGCACTCGAAGGCCCTGTGCCACAGCGTGCCACGACCTCCGCAGAGGCGGCAGAGGCCGTCGCGCGCCTTGCCCTCCTTCCAGAGGCGCTCCTGCGGCCAGTGGGAGCCGCCAAGGACCGCCACGAGCGCACGCCTGTGGCGGGCCTGCCAAAGCTGCGGCGGCGGCGCGGGCCCCTGGCAGCCTGCGCCATTGGCGGCCTCGGCGGAGGCCTGCTCCTCGGGGCGGCGGCGCGCGTGAAGGAGGCGCTCCAACCCCTTCCAGTTCACAGGCCATGCCCAGGCGCCAGGCCCGCGCAGCCGCTGCAGCGCGAGCACATCCGAGGCCAGCAGCGCCGACGTGCGCACCACCTGCACCAGCATGCCTGGCGAGTAGAACTCCAGCGAGAAGACGCGCGCCTGCCAATCGATGACGGCATTGTAGGCCGCCATCTCGCAGCCGACCCGCCTCAGCGCCAGCACACGCGCCTGTGCAGGGTCGCGGCACTGCCCCCAGGGGCGGCGAAGGTCCAGCAGGCCTTGCGCCCCGAGCCAGCACTCCTGCACCACCGCGGCGCTGGGCAGGCCCGTCTCCAGCGTCATGCCCCAGGAGCGCGCCACCGCCACCGCGTGCACCGCGAATGGGGTCGCGGTAGGCGGCGCCGTGCTGCGCCCGCAGCCGCAGGCCAACGCTGGCGCCCATGGGCAGCCTGCCCTCCGCGCGCATGGCGGCGACCCGCATGCCGTGCACCCCGCAGGCGAGGCCCGTCACCGCGGAGCCCCAGAAGGCGGTGGCTGCGGGGCTTCCCCTCTGGATGTGGCCCACCTGCGCGCCAGCACTGCGCAGCAGGCGCGCCCGCGCACTGACCGCCGCCGCGCGGCCTAGCCGCGCGTCCTGCTCGCCCGCGCGCCTCCAGCGCCCGTCGGTGGCGTCGCCACCGAGGCAGCGGGCGCCTGTCCAGCGGGCCAGCGGCCCGTGCGCCCAGCAGCCGTCCAGCGCGTCGCCCAGGTCATCGCTGTTCACCAGGTAGCCCGTCTTCGCCTCCGAGATGACCAGCCCCTCGGCGACCAGGCCCTCTATGAGGGCAGCCATGGCCCTGGGGAGCTGCTGCGCCACCTGAGCCTCGCCGCCGACCGCCTGCAGCAACACGTCGTCAACGACGTTCTGCAGGCGAACCACAGGGTTCTCGCGCACAGTCTCCACGAACAGGGTGTGCACCAGCAGCTTGGCCAGCCCGACCGCCCCGCTGCATCCCGCCACAATGGTGCCGTTCGCCCCGAACGGCTTGGAGACCGAGCCGCACCACGACACGCGACGCTGCGTGCAGTACGACACGCAGTAGCACCGCAGCAGCGCGAGCGGGAAGCCCGTGGCGGCCGCCTGCACGCGCAGCTCCTCATGGCTGACGTGCTCGTAGAACTTCGCCAGGTCGGTGACTCCCGTGGCCGCCGAGAGGCCCCTTCTGCGAGCAGAGGCCGCCGGGAGGTTGTGCACCACCCCCGCGCGCTCGCAGGGGCACTCCGACGTGCCCCAGAAGGCAGGGTTCTGCAACGAGGCCTCCCAGCGGGCCACCAGCGGCTGCCGCGTCCTGCTCCAGACCCTCAACCAGATGGCCGTGAGGCCGATCGGCCGCTGGCCTCCAGTAGCCTTGGGGATGAACACCACGATCAGCTGCCACAGCGCCTCCCGCGTGGGCCCCCGCTCCCAGGCCATGAGGAGCTCCAGGAAGCGCTGCCTGTAGGACCGCGGGAGGCGCAGCAGCTGCTTCGGGTGGAGCCTATCCCACCCGAGGCCGCACCCCATCGCGGTAGGTGCCCAGGACCCGCTCTAGGTCCTCGAGCTCCAGCGGCGGCGGCACCGGCCCCTGGATGCCCCAGTCCTCGGGCGCCACCTCGCCAGCGCGCGACGGCTCGATCCGATCCAGAGAGGCTGCCACGCCTTCAGCAGCGCAACCACTGCGGCCTCGCCCGCTACAGGCATGCGCGGGCCGTCGTCCCCGTCTGCGCCCGCGTGTTCCACCGTGGGCAGCACAGTGGCCTGCTTGATGAAGCGGTAGGCCGCCGAGCCGCCCTTCTCGGTGGCCGCAGCCTGGGCCCAGGCGCGCCGCTCAGCTGCCTTCTGCTGCTTGTCCTGCATCCAGCGCCGCCTCGCCTCCTCCTGGACGAACTGCACCGTCAGCTTGCACGATGAGGAGCTGAGCAGGCCCACCGCGCGGGCGACCGACAGCCCTGCGAGCGGGCCTTCCTCTGGCCACTCGAGCTCGAACGCCTGCAGCACCTGGTGCTGATTGCCCAGCGGCGCCGTGCAGCGACCTCCTGGCGCCGCCTCCTGCAGCGCGCGCCAGCGGGAGCACGCCGCCGCGAACGACAGCCAGCGTCTGCATGCAGCGCCGACACTCCTCTTGAGGTCCTGCTTCCAGGCCACCTCCATCTTGACCCTCTGCGTGCGCAGCCCGCCTGCGCGCCCTTTCCAGCGGCTGGGCGGCACGATCTCGTGGAGGTCGATCAGGTAGGCCTCCACCGCCTCGAACCACTCCTGGCAGCCAACCTTGAGCGGCTGCTCGCCGCCTGGACCCCAGGCCGAGAAGGCGCGCTCATGCGGCGCTGGCCTTACTGGCGGCGGCAGCGGCAGTGGGAAAGCAGCAGGGAAAAGCGGCCGCCGCACCCTCGCCGCTGGCCCTACGCCACGGAACACCACCTTCAGCGGCACGTGGTCCCTCGTCGGCGCCTGCAGCAACACCTCAACCGTCTCCACGAAGCCCGTGAGGACCTTGCTGACGACAGCGAAGTCGAAGACCTTCGAGCCGCATGTCGGCTCCCCTGGGGCGACGAGCGCAGCGCCCACGCTGCGCGCCCACTCTCGGACGTCCTCGGGCTCCATGTTCCAGTCGCCCATCACAGCCCACGGCGACTCCAGCTGCCCCACGTGCTCGTGCAGCGCCGCCAGGAGCCCGATGTTCTCCTTCGCCCTGCCTATCTTCGTCATGAAGTAGGACGAGATGACGCGGCACGGCTCCCTGAATCCCAGGTTCACCTCGCACACCTGGAACCGATGGGCTGGGAGCCCTGGCGCAGCGGTGGCCGCCGACGGCCGCAGCGTGGCCACAGCCACTCCTCCCGAGCTCTCCAGCGGCCCTGGGCCCGTCGCCAGCGCTGCCTGGCCGTGCCAGCTGAGGCCGCGCGCTTGCATCCAGCCCGCAGCGCGGGCCACCGCCTGCTTGCCCTTGAGGCGGTGCTCCTGGAGGCAGAGCACCTCAGGCAGCCGCCCCACGCCGTCGCGCAGCCACTCGACCAGCGACTGCGCCGAGCCCCACGCGGTGGTGTTGGCCGACACCAGCTCCACCGCGTCCGCCGCCTGCGGGCGGCTACCCCAAGGCTGGGCCTGACACTCGCTGGCGCTTGGCCAGCGCTGCGCGCCAGGCTGCGCGCTGCTGCTCGTCCTCCATGCCCACCTCGTCGAACACGGCATCGAGCCCGTCGAGCTCGGGGCCCAGGTCGAGGTCGCCGACGCGCTTGCGGCCCCCAGGAGGACCAGCAGCGCCGTCAACATCGCCAGCGGCCACGGGAGCGGCCTCCTGCGCGGCGGCGGCCCGCTCGGCAGCAGCAGCAGCCGCGCGGGCCCGCTCAGCCGCCGCTGCCTCGCGGGCACGGGCGTCGGCGTCGGCGAGCTTCTCCACGAGGCAGCGGGCCCCCGCGGCCATCGCGAGCAAGGCGCCGCCCTCCTCCCCGAGCAGTAGCACCCGCTCCCGCTCCGCCTCGAGGCCCTCGAGGCCCTTGAGCAGCGCCTTGCCCAGGTCGCCCGTCTCCTCAGGCTCGCCTACCTCCGTGGGCGACGGCCCTGTATGCTGCGCCAGGTCGGCGCGCTTCCTGGCGCGCACCGCCTCGGCAACCTCCTCCAGCTGGTCGCGGCGCTTCTGGAGGACGCCGACCTGCTCCGCCACGCGGGCCGCGACGGCCTCCTGCTCCTCCTTGACAGCCGCCAGCATGGCCTCCGCACGGCCGACCTGGCCCTTGACCTTCGCCTCCCTAGCCAGGAGGGCCTGGAGTGACAGCTCGGCCAAGGGCTTCGCAGGCGGCGGCACGTCGGCCTCGGGCACCAAGGCCCCGAAGTCCTGGACCAGGGCCGCCGACGAGCCCTCCCTGGGGCCACAGTGGCGGAGGGCCAGGCGGACCTCCTCGTTCTTGCCGCCGCAGCTGCTGGGCTGCTCCTCGGCCGCCTGCTTGGCCGCGCCCTGCGCCCACGGCGCCGGCGTGGCCGCGGCGGCGGACGGGCCAGGCCCATCCGAGGCGAACCGCACACGCTTCGCCACGGCCTTCGCCTTCCCTTTGGCCTTGACCTTCTTGGCCCTGTCAATGGCGTCGCCGATCGTGCCAGCGCCCCTCGGCGGCCGCGCCGCCTGGCAGAGCCTGCACACCGTGCGCCACGCCATGTTGCTGTAGCCAGCTGCACACGCACGGCACGTCCAGGGGTCGCCACCCTGGCTGGCACCACGTGCGCCTCCAGCAGCACCATTCGCCATCGGCCCGCGGGGGCACGCCGCTTCGAAATATGCACCCGCAAGAGCGAGCCCCGCGCTCGCCCCGAAACGGCTAGGAGGATGAGGATGAGGATGAGGAGGAGGAGGAGGAGGAGGAGGGAGGAGGCGGAGGAGGAGAAGGAGGAGGAGGATAGAAGAGAGAGAGAAGAACTACGAGGAGGTGCAAAAGGAGTGGGGAGGGGAGAGAGGCAAGGTCGGTGCGCTCAAGCCACACCTGACATTCTAGTCCGTCCTCCCATCCCTTCATATTGCGCTGATTCGTTCTTTATCCGCGGACGCGTGTCATAGCCGACCTGAAACTAAAAAAAGAAAGGAGGACGAGGACGAATAGCAGCAGCAGCAGGAACTGAAGTGGAAGGAGGGGGAGGAGCAGGAAGACAAGGGGAAGGCGGAGGGGAAATGAGGGGGGCGGCAACTATGAAAAAGGACTTGTTGAATCCAGAAAAGTGGCCAACGCTGGAGTGAGAGCGCCATTCTGAACGACTGGAGCAAATCGCCGATCCGAAAATGAGGCGGACGCTGCCGCGGGAGCACCATTTTGAAACATCGAAAACCATGAGGAGGACCAGTACAAACCCACGATTCACCAACGATTTTGGAATAAACCCTCCCTCCGAGCTCCCTCTTCATAAGCCCCTTCAAGGATTCATGTCCATTGAGGAAAGTGCCCTATTGAGAGACAACCGTTTGAAGATCCTGACGCGTGCCAAAACACCATTCTCGGACCCCGACACCAAAAACAAACGTGACTGTTGCGTCTTGACGATCTGGCATCGAGCCATAACACAATTCCTGGGACTTCGACATTCCGCATCAACGTAACTGTTGCGCCCTGACAGTCCTGAATCGCTCCAACACACAATGTCTGATACGTTGATCATTGGAATCAATGAAACTCCTACAACTTTTAAGACACATGTTCGCGGCACTAAGACGAGAATCACATTTTGAGGACGACCTGTCCTCAATACAGGAAGCCCTTGCAAACGTTTGAGACGAATGTGTGCGGCGCTCGGGCGAGAACCTCATGGTGAAAACGACCTGCCCTCAACGTATGAAACGGTAGCACTCTTTAAACGACGGATGTGCGCGGCGCTAAGATGAGAACCACACTGTAAACAAAAAAAACACCCGCCCTCAATCCGTGAAACGGTTGTCACTGTTTAAGCTTGAAGACGATACCTGGCATGGAAGTCGCAAGCGAAACGCCCGGGCCGCCCTTCTGACTGGCCTCGGGGTGCGACAGGGAGGAGAGCTGTGGGATGGAGGAAGCAAACAATCAATGGGCACTCCCGCGCACGTGCACCGTCTGGGGGGTGCTCTGGGTGCGGCACCACGGAGCGCCGATATCTGGACCTCTCGCGCGGACCCCGCTGACGTCTCGTCTCTGGTGCGCAGCGAAATCTGGTCCGATGGTATCCCAATCCTCCGTTGACCTCCCTCTTCTCTCCCTTCTCCGCCCTCGTCCTCCCCCTTCCTCCTCCCGCCTCCTCCCGCCTCCTCCTCCTCCTCCTCCTCCTCCTCCTCCTCTCCTCCTCCTCCTCCTCCTCCTCCTCCTCCTCCTCCTCCTCCTCCTCCTCCTCCTCGTCCTACCCTCCTCTTCCTGGCGTTGTTCAAAACATTCGCAACACTCACGTCGTCACGCCCCATCGTGCAGCACACAAAATATCGTATAGCGTCAGTCTACCTGGGTCAAGCTGTGGGGGAGTCAGATGTCATAAGAGGAGGCAACAGATGTGGGAAGGGAGGCGATGGAGGAGAGGGAGGTGGAGGAGGGGGGGAGGTGGAGGAGGAGGGAGTAGGGAGGATAATGGAATTAAAGGGAGAAGGAGGAGGGATGAGGATGAGGATGAGGCTGAGGCTGAGGATGATGATGATGATGGTGATGATGGTGGTGATGATGATGATGCTGCTGTTGTTGATGGTGATGCTGATGCTGATGATGATGATGATGGTGATGGTGATGATGATAATGATCATGATGATGCTGATGCTGATGATGGTGACGGTGATGGTGATGGTGATGATGAAGATGATGATGATGATGATGATGATGATGAAGATGAAGATGAAGATGAATATGAAGATGAAGATGAATATGATGATGATGATGATGATGATGATGATGATGATGCTGATGATGATGATGTTGATGATGATGATGATGATGATGATGGTGATGATGATGATGATGATGATGATGATAACGAGGAGGAGGAGAAGGAGGACGAGGAGGAGGAGGAGGGAAAAGGACAAGGGAATAACAGGTGGAGGGCGGGGAAGGGAGGGGGAGCGAGCAGGAGGACGAGAGGGTCGAAGAGGAGGAGGAAGACCACTCCCGCCCGGTGGCCTGATGGCCCGCGAGCCGGCGTGAGGCGACCACGCCCGCCGGCCTGGCGGCCGCTGGAGCATGGGCGCCCCGCCTGGGGCCAGGATGCCCTGCAGCGGGGGGGGGGCTGCGGAGGCGGGGGGGTGTCCTCCAACTACTCATCCACCTCCTCCTCCTCGTCGTCCTCCTCCTCGTCGTCCTCCTCCTCCATGTCCTCCATGTCCTCCTCCTCCTCCTCCTCCTCCACGTCCCTCTCCTCCTCCTCCTCCTCATCCTCCTCCTCCATGTCCCTCTCCTGCTCCTCCTCCTCTTTTTCCTCCTCCTCCTCTTCGTCTTATGGATACTTTAAGTATTAGTGATATTATTATTGTTGTTAGTAGTATTGTTATTATTGTTATTGTTGTTAATAGTAATGTTGATGAATAGTATGTGTCTTCTTCTTCTTTATAGTATGATCATTACTTTTATGTGTTATTAGTGTTCATAGTGTTGCCAGTAGGATTACCAAATGTTGCATTCGCATTCGTATTTTTTGTCTAATGATCATCCTTCTCCGCCTCCTCCTCATCATCATCATCATCATCAGCAGCAGCATTATCAACATTATTATTAATATTACTATCTATATTATGATAACTGTTATTATTACTGATATAACCACTGCACATGTAATTGCTAGTATTGCTATCATCCCCCTCATCATCATAATCATCAGCGCCATCATGAGCATCATCATCACCACCATCATCATCAACATCAACATCAGCAACATCATCATCAGCCTCATCATCATTCTTAGTGTTTTTGTCATTCGCACTCGCATGCTTATTATTACCCCCTCCTCCTCATCCTCCTCCCTCCTCCTGCTCCTCCTCTTCCTGTTCCACCTCCTCCTCCTCCATGTCCTTCTCCTCCTCCTCCTCCTGCTCCTCCTCCTCCTGCTCCTCCTCCTCCTGCTCCTCCTCCTCCGCCTCTTCCTCCTGCTCCGCCTCCGCTGCCTCCTCCTCCTCCTCCTCCTCTTCCTCCTCCGCCTCCTCCTCCTGCTCCTCCGCATCTTCCTCGTTTCCTCCCCCTCCTCCGCTTCTCTCTTCCTGCTGCTGTTGCTGCTGCTGCTGCTGGCTCTCCTCCTCCTCCTCCTCCTTCTCCTCCTCCTCCTTCTCCTCCTCCTCCTCCTCCTCATCCTCCTCCTCCTCCTCCTCCTCCCATCGCTCGGCATGTCGGGTAAGAACCTAGCCAGGTTAACTTGGGTGGAATCCTTGCTGCTCTTCAGCTGCCATGGGTCTGTCTGGGCGATTGGAACATGGAACCAGCTGTACTTTCTCGCCGTGGATGTCTTCGCCAAGTTCAGGGTCGGGCACTCCTGCCGCAGGCGGAGTGCATCGGTCAAGCTGGAGCCCGTCCCAGCTGCACCGTGAAGGACTCGCGTTGGCTTGGCGCTGCCTATTCGTGCATCAGGTCTGCCACCTCTGACGCGCAATCTGGAGCGTGCTGGCCGATTGCCCCGGGCGACCCGCCCAGCGCAGAACAGAGCCGCTCCAGGGTCGAAGGCCTCCGATGCCAAGAACGCGCGAAGGCGGCAGCCGCCGCCACGGCCTCGGAACAGAAAGCGCTCGGAGCAGCATCTGCACCTGCACGGTGACAGCTCCAAGTCATCCCAAGTTTCTGCCTCTGCTTCTGTGACTCGGCCCCCATCGGGACGAGGAAACCGGCGCCCCCGCAGAGGGGGCTCTTCCCCTCGATGCTGGCGAGGAGGAAGGGGACCCATGGGCCAGCGAAGCCAATTTCGATGGTGCAGGCAGGCCGGGTGAGAACGCTTGCCTGTCATCGCCTGCTGTCCTTTCCGAAGGTGGTCAGCCCCGTCTCGCCTGCCAGTCAGCAGCTTATCAGTAATAGTGACAGTTCGCCCCCCCCGGCCAAAAATCGTGAATCGGTGAGCCAGGTGGGGGTGCCAGAAGAGAAGGTCGAACCCAGTTTCTTTACTCCTGATGATGCTTCGGGCGAATATAGGGCCCATCGTTCAAGAACTTCAACTCCCCCCTCCTCCGCACTTCTGCTCTTCCGTAGCTTTTTGGTTCCTCTTGGTACTCCCTATGAGAGAACACTGCTGAGGATGTCAGATATACTCATCACCTGGTCAAGCCATCTAGGGGGCCCCGCAAAGGCGAAGGAAGTTTCTTTATCGAAGAATCGGTCAAGCAGAACACTCGGTCACGAGCGGTACCGTTGCGCGATCGCGTCGCACGCTGGCGGAAGCGAGTTGCCTCCATCTCATCGCAATTCGAACGCCACGGGTGCCGCGACACTGGCCGCAACTAGCCAGCAGAGCAGTTGAAGCAGGCAGCCAGGCATCTGGCGTCTGACAAGCCCGAGGGCGTCGACAATATTCTAATGAGCCAGGAAAATGGAGAGGCTTGCTCCTGAATCTAGGATCTACTGGTGGTGTTGTGGTCCTCAGTTATTGTCAGCAGGCTGATCAACTTGATCGTCGTGCGCTTCGCTGAGCAATTCGTGAATATTCAGGTGAGCTTCGGCTCTGGATTACCTCGCAGGAGGTGTTGGGCACCTCGCACCGCAGCATGCGCGATGAGCCCCTTCCAACACAGGAGGCGCGGCAAGGCTCGTCAATGCTCGTTCATCCTCGAAATGCTCTGGACCGGAAGGGCAAGCAATGGAAGGAAGTGTGGACTTCTATAGACCGTCGCTCAGCGTGCCTCTTTCCTACGCCAAGCATGCCGCGCGCATCTGCGATGGCGGCGAGAATGCGCGCACCAGATTCTACGCCCCATAAACAAGCCGGGGTCTCTGCATGTAGTGTAGATCTATATACTCGTTTGATAACTTTACTAGATATACATATAGGTGAACATGGCCCCATCGACGAATCCAGGCCCTGCGAGCCCATTGAACCTAGACCCTAGACCCCTGTGACCTGAGAGGCTCGATTCTACCCTTGGCTACATCCTCTTCTGCTGCCCAGCTGGCGTCAGCAACAGAAAAAAAAAGGTATCTTGATTCCACTCAACAGCGCCACCTTTGAATATTAACCAGGCAGTCAGCGGACTGAATTGCTCCTTCTAATGCGCGGCTGGCTTCCTTGAGATGAAATACCTTAGCGTGACGCACTGCAGTCTGCAGTCTGCTCACGCGATACAGTAGCTCAGGTTTACACTGACGTGTAACCCACGACGAAGCACCTACGACCGATCTAAGCTGTGCTGCCTCGCCCTCGTTGCATCTTCTCGTAAGGGGGCTGTCTCTAGGATGGGATGCCGCTTCGATGTTTCTCAATGTCGTCATCGGCCGTGATATCCACCATGACATCGTCATCTTGAACAACCTCTAAACCGTAAAAACAGATATTGTCGATTTGATCTCGCGAATCTCCAACTCTGCTGATACCGAGCCGATGATTGTCGCACTTTTTCGTCATCTGCAGCCCGCGGTATGTCATCCACGTGTGTACCTAAAATGCACGTGATCTCGTTCTTGTCATTGTGCATACTGAACACAGCAAGCATGATGCGATTCCCCTGCAGACCATGAGCTCCAAACCTCCTGCGAATTTCCCCCCGCAAGCCTCGTCCTGCGTCACGCGTGCCATAGACGGGCGTGCTCGCGATCAGTGTCCCACGATTCACTACTGCTTCGAGTTCGTCGGGCGGTGGCTTGAGAAGCATGGGGCGGTCGAGGTCCTGCCCCTGGAAATACGCAGATGTAGTGGCGGCGCAGTTGAGCATCTCATGAGTACTGGCAGCCCAGGATACTATCAACCTTAGCCCCTCGAACTCGCATGTTGGTGAATCCGCGCGGATACCCAAATACTTCCAAGTCTCCACGTACGACGAGGCTACTCTCGTACTGCGGTGCAACCAGGTCCACCCGGTCTACGGAGATGTTCATTCCGTCTTGCCTTGCCAGTCGTAAACCGCTTCTAAGGTCCTCAGATTCCCGATGGTGTGCCGGATTATCTGCACTCTTTGGCTTCTTCTTAGATTGCGGCGTATGAGCGGTGCGTTCATTGAAGGATCCGACAAGCGATTCATGTGGCTTCACAACGAGTGAAGCTTCTCTACGAGCAAAAAGATCCATGCCCAGCCCTGATGTTCCGGCCCTGCGCATGGCCTCAAGAAGTGGACTCGCTGGTTCGGGAGCTGGCTCCGAGACAGAATCGGTAGCCCTTCCTGTGTTACCATCGGCTTTTCGACTCTTCGGCGCATCACTGCGCTGCGACTCTGTATACCGTGCGGGACGTCGTCTAGTAACGACCTCTGAAGAGGCGTTCGAGTCACCTGTGACGATCTCGACGCGGGCGGCACAGGAACGACCATTCCATCTGACAGTTCATATCCTCCCATGTGGCGAAATGCTTCCTCTATGAACTCGGGGTATTCTGAGACCCCGGCAGCCCTTCCGGCGCCATAAGATGTTATTCCGAAGAATGCTCCTGCGCCCGGGGTTCAGGCAGTTCACTTCGCTCGTCCACGAATGACTGCTGTCGCCCGTCTGGAGGTGCATACCTCTCAACGCCACCGTCATGGTGCTTAGAGATATATTGGTAAGCCAAAGCATCCGCCGCTGCACGCGGTCGAAGCCTGTCGACAGCCACGCAGACAGGCACACCCTCTGTGATAACCCATGCGTTCTTGCCATCGAATCCAACGATGCGAGAACCAGTGCTCCACTTAGCAGTAACCTCGCCGTCGGTCGGCCTCTTGCGAAAACATACTACATCACCTACCTGATATTCCCCAGCTAGTGGCGTTGCCTTTCGGAAAGCGGCCCTTGCCGTCCTACTCCCGACGTCGTGTTCTGCGAATACTTGTCTGGCAGACGCCCGGGTCGCAGCCTGGCGAGAAAACTCGTCGACTCCGTCCTCTGCAGCATTCGCAAGCACTCCTATGTCGAAAGCTTCCTCGCCGTCGAATTGACTCCCTGGGGCACGAGGCATCTTTCCGAGCACCCACTGCGCAGGCGCAAATTCACCGACTCGTGACATCTCTTTCTTCGTGTTGTCGACTTCTGATGCAGTAAAGATGCCTTCATCGAGTCTGGAAACATTCTTGTTGTGCACCACCTTCTTGAAGATGTTATTTTTCCAAAGTCCACCATG